AAAATTGAGATTATTAGGATTGGAAGATTGGGAAAATGGAAAGGAGGACTCATCAAACACGACATGTCGGGAAACAATGATTTTGTTAGTTTGGAGGTCGAGACAGCGATATCCGCGTTGATTAGAGGGATAGCCTAGGAAAATGCACCGAGCAGAGCGTGGGGCGAGTTTGTGTGGGGCGGTGGCAGTGGTGTTTGGATAGCAAAGGCACCCAAACATACGGAGGTGGGAGTAAGTGGGTGGAGTTTTGTATAGAAGGGCGTGTGGGGTTTGGTTGTGAAGTGTGGTGGTTGGAAGAAGGTTGAAAAGGTGAGCAGCCATGTGTAGGGCCTCAACCCAATATTCAGGTGGTAGGTGGGCTTAAAAAAGAAGAGTGCGAACGGTATTGTTTATGATGCGAATGGTGCGCTCTGCCCGGCCATTTTGCTGGCTGGTGTGGGGACACGAGAAACGGAATAAAATCCCTAAAGAGGCAAAAATATTTTGGAGTGGGGAGTTGCGATATTCTGTACCATTATCACATTGAACAGATTTAATGGTGGTGTTAAAATGGTTTTGAACATACTTAGTGAAAAAATTGAAATGATTAAAGGCATCAGATTTTTGTTTTAGAGGAAAAACCCATAGATAATGCGAGTAATCATCCAATAATAACATGTAATGTTTAAAACCTGTAACACTAGGTATAGGAGATTGCCACAAATCTGTATCTAATAATTCAAATGGAAAAGTAGAGACACGACAGGACTGATAAAATGGGAGACGAACATGTTTTCCCAACTGACACGCATGACATAAACTTAGACTAGAATTTTTAAATAAATGAGAAAGACTCGAGACGCCACGGAGAACGGCTAGACTTGGGTGACCCAGGCGCCGGTGCCATGTTTGGATGTCAACTGACGCGCTGAGTGCATGGGCTTGTGCGGTGGGGCGCAGGGGGTAGAGAGGGCCAGCATTATTGGATCGATGTATCACGGTTCCCGTCCGAAGATCCTTCACAGAAAAGCCATGAGCATCAAATTCAATGGAGCAGTTATTGTCACGGGTAAATTGTCGGACAGAAATAAGATTATGGATAATATGAGGGGATATGAGGACATTTTTAAGGGATAAAGGGGGGTTGGTGGGAAAAAAATGGTTACCAACAGCCGTAGTGCTAACTTTAGATCCATTACCTACAGTGATATGAAGAGGTGAATTTAATGATTGAGAATAGACATGAGAAATAGTACCTGGGTCGGAGGCGATGTGGTGAGAGGCCCCGGTGTCCATTAGCCAAGTGGGTTCC